CCCTTTCCTGACATTAAGGTTATTCCCATCCAAATTATACTTATAATTCAAATTATGATAACCCACATGCATTATCTTGCATTTACTATAATTAAACCCATCTGCCATTTATTTGCCCAACTTACTAAATGATCTAAATCCTTTTGTAAATCAGCAGCATCCTCTTCACAGCTAGCAACAAACAAGACCTTAATATCTGCAAATTTAAGTAATCTATTGACTATTCCTTCATCTATGTCATTGATGTAAATCAAAAAGACCAAAGGTCCTAAGAGTGAGCCATGAAGTACCCTACTTGTGACATTAATCCAGTTTGTAAAGTTATTTTGTTGTACTTTAGCAATTATCGTACATACTAACACACCAAGCTTCAGTCTACAGAAATTCCTAGAGTCAGAGAAGTTTTTAAAAGTTTCAAAATACAAAGTAGATGTGGCACTAACCTCAGATCTGTACTGTAATGCCTTCTTCACAGTTACGTCCAGATTATTATAAGTTCTCTCAGCTGCCAGATACTTCATTAGAGAGAAAAAGATACAAGTTGGTGAATAAAATAAAAACTAAAAAGATTTGATAAATATACTTGAAGCTTTTGAGTTAAAAGATAATAAATGCATTAAGCCCATTCTATTTTAAATAGGCCTAATGTTACTGTATAATAATGATATATCACCTGGTTTTGATACCTAAAAAAAAGTGGGACTTAGTTTGAACTACATATTTAGAACTACATAAAGAAATTCATTAGTTCTTCAATAAATAGTTAATTTTCAGCAAGACTGGAACTTGTATTTTGACGGCTATTTGCACTAGCCATCCATAATTTTGATGTGATAAACTAGAGAGAAGGCAGCTAGTCAACACCAATTTTTGGATTACTCTTTACCAACGAATAGTGAGGTTGAGTGTCACATTATAATATCCTCATGGTTGAAAGGGTGAGCATGTTTGGGGATGGGATTTGAGCCCATGACTCAAAGCACGAGTTGAGTGTCCTAATCACCTAGTCCCAGGGTGATAAGTTTCCCTGGAAATTAGGCAAGTTAGTTTTGTTTCTATAGTGATAAAAAAAAATTTATAAAACTCATTTAATGAAATATATCATAAAATAAATACCTAAGTTTTTTCAGAGTGGAAAAAAAAAAAAAAAAAAAAAATTCTCATATTTGAAGATGGACAAGGAAAGAATGCAATTTTTATTTACATTTTCAAAAAAAGCTTTTTACAAGTTACCACACAAAAGATTAGCTAAGAAAATCACACGTATAGAGGTTAGGGAAAGACAAGTTAATTTGGATTATATGGTGGCTAGATGAAAGAAAACAAAGGTTAATGGGCCCCATCAAACTGGACCTTGTTACTAGTGGAGTGACGATATTTAGGTACTACAGAATGGACTGATCAACTAGAAAGTTTGACATATATCTGGCAAATGACTTAAATATAGTAAATGGAAGGTTAACGCATTTGGTTTGATGTAGGTGGGAAGTCGTGAACTCAACTATGTGATTTGAAACAGAGGATCTTGGTATAGTTGATGGATACGACAACCTAAGCCATCAAAGTAGTGCTCTTATTATTAATATTATAGTAGTTATTCTATTTATAGGCATCGATTACAAGTGAAAAGAGGTAATTATGTTTCTATTCATGTCACTAGTTATGCCTAACTTATTACACTGTTTACAGTTTTGTTATCTAAGAAAGTACTTATTTTAAAAGGATTCAGAGGAAGGCTACCAAGATGATTTCTGGAAGTGGGTTATATTTTAAGGATAAGATCTCTCAACTTATTTTCTTTAGGAATGGGTAACAACTCATCTCAATGAAGTTTACATGATTATCCTGGGCATTAGGTGTGTGCGTGCAAAAGATTCAAGAAATTAGGATAAGAGTACACAAGTTTAAATTTGGAAAAAAAAGACAGGCTAGGCTCCAGTTAGTTTTACTTTAATAGGTTGAGTTAGCTTATTGAATGAGTTACCAACAGTAGTGAAGTCCAGCACTTTAAGCTACAAGGGAATGAATCTAAGATGTCCAAAAAGAAAAGTATAGGTTTGAATCAGGATTTACAATAATACTGGTGGCATCGATACCAACCGCACGCTCCGGTTCAAATGGACATACTGGTGGCATTGATACCGACCGCACGCTCCGGTTCAAATGGACATACTGGTGGCATCGATACCGACCGCACGCTCCGGTTCAAATGGACATACTGGTGGCATCGATACCGACCGCACGCTCCGGTTCAAATGGACATACTGGTGGCATCGATACCGACCGCACGCTCCGGTTCAAATGGACATACTGGTGGCATCGATACCGACCGCACGCTCCGGTTTAAATGGATATTTTTCATTATGGATGGAAGTGAAAAAACAGCCGTAAAAGTACCAAGTGATCCCTTGCTGTTCATATGTTATGAAACAAATTTACATTAGAATTAGATCTGTTGATGTCATTTAAAAATATATTACTTTAAACTTATTTGCATGGCAGTTCTGTACACAAGTGCTTTCAAAAACTGAAGGAAAGAAAACTAATACTATAGTTAAGTTTATTATTAGGTAAAAGGAAAATATCAGTTTAAAAAAAAGTAACCGACACTTACAATGACATCAAATTTTGCATATATATCCACTACTTTTGCTTTGTCATTCACTATGGGTAAAGCTGAAACCCTTCTCTCTATGAATTGATTCAGGGCCATAATGACTGGAGTACTCTCTTTGATCTAGAATGAAATCAATTTTTGTTTATTCTTTAAAAAAAATAAAACACACACACATTATACAAGGAGTTTCAAACAAGTTTCTGCCACCCAGATTTGAGAAAGCTGAGAGCATACACGTCTGAATGAGACTACTGCAAAGCACATTTCTTCGAAAGTCTACTCAATACAGCATTTGGCTACATTTAAGATCTGCACTCCTGTATATTAACACTATAGGTACAACTACTTCAACAATATTCATGACATGAAAACCTGAAGAAATGTAGTTGTCCATTTCAAAAAAAAACATTCTAAAGATATAATTAACTTGTTAATGTATCTTAAACAGATGAAGGATGATGTTACACTTATCCGTTATCAATGCAGGTATTGTAAGGCAGTAACATTTTTATTTCTACTTTATACAATACAGCTTCTAGTGAACATTAATATATATTTTATTTTTTTTATATTAAGACATTAACACGAGGTTCCTATGTTGACAATGTTTGGATACTAAGGTTTGATTAATTAACACGAGGTTCCTATGTTGACAATGTTTGGATACTAAGGTTTGATTAATTAACACGAGGTTCCTATGTTGACAATGTTTGGATACTAAGGTTTAATTAAATATTTAAAAACGAATGCTTAGCCAGTCGTAAAACATGATCTGGCAACACAGAAATCCTGAACACTTCAAGTTACTGATGAGAAAGTGCTTAGCCAGTCGTAAAACATGATCTGGCAACACAAAAATCCTAAACAC